AAGTTGATCTCCTGTCATCAAGGCATCCTGCCCAATCCGCATCTGTATAAGCCTCTAGTTTCAACTATCCATGATCAGTAAACAATATGCCTCTGCTCAGGTGTCCCTTCAAATAAGCAAGAACCCTGTCAACTACCTCCCAATGCTGGACTCGTGGAACATGCATGTATTGACTTACTACACTTACTGCATAGGAAATGTCTGGTCTTGTCATACACAAGTATAGCAGCCGACCCACAAGTCCTTGATATCTCCCAATGTCCTTTACTAGTTCACCTTCTGATGCATTGATTCTATGGTTCTGATCAATAGGGGTACTGATTGCCTTCGTTCCAAGTTTCCCTGTCTCTTGAAGAAGATCCAAGACAGACTTCCTTTGAGAGATAAAAATTCCATGTTTTGATCTTGCAACTTCAATGCCTAGGAAGTATCTCAGTTYTCCAAGATCCTTAATTTYAAATTCTTTATGTAGATTCCTTTTCAGACAATCAATCTCACTTAGGTCATTCCCCGTAACAACAATATCATTCACATAAACAATTAGAACTGACACCAAAGATCCCCTGCGCTTCACAAACAAGGTATGATCAAATTGAATCTGAGTGTATCCAAAAGCAATCAAGGCCTTTCTGAATCTGTCAAACCATGCTCTGAGAGATTGTTTCAAGCCATAAAGTGACTTCTTAAGCTTGCATACCTTTCCCTTTTCAGTGTCACTATAAAAGCCAGTAGGAAGATTCATATACACTTCCTCTTGCAGATCCCCATTTAGGAAAGCATTCTTCACATCAAGTTGAAACAAGGGCCAAGAGTATGAGGCAGCAAGAGAAAGAAGTATCCGAACATAGGTCATCTTTGCAACCAGTGCAAAGGTCTCTAAGTAATCAACACCATAGGTTTGTGTGTATCCTTTTGCAACAAGTCTTGCCTTGTACCTTTCTATACTTCCATCTGCCTTATATTTTACCATGTAAACCCATCTGCATCCAACTGTCTCCTTGCCTTCTGGTAGATCCACAATGTCCCATGTCTAATTCTTAATCAAAGCTGCCATCTTTTCCTGTATAGTTGTCTTCCACTTAGGTTTGGAGAGAGCCTCACTAACACCCTTGGATATAAACACTGAGTCAAGGGAGGAAAGAAAAATACGGTAGGAAGGAGAAAGTCCACTATAGGATAAGTACTGTGAAACACAATGAGCAGTACACTTTCTCTTCCCTTTTCTGAGAGCAATAGGAAGATCAAGGTTATCTATAACAGGGTTAGTAGAATCAATGGGAACTGAAACAGTAGCGGGACCAAGAGGAATACCTGAATCCATGTCGGCCGAATCTGGAGTCTCCAAGAAATCGACAGGAAGTGATGTGAGTTCCGTTGCAGTGGAATCAACCTCCTTGTGAAGTCTCTGTCGTAAGTAATGCTGAGAAGCAGGACGCAAAGGAGGTGGTAAGGTAGGTGACACAGGATGGTCAAGCATAGGAGTAGACACAGGGACTGGAACTGAGAGAGGAATAGACTGCTGACTCACTTCCCCAAAACACTCCCCCTGAGAATGATTCTTTGAAAAAAAGTATGTGGATTCAAAAAAAGTGACATCCATGGTAACATACTGGCTCCCAGAGACTGGGTCATAGCAGCAATACCCTTTCTGATTTTCTACATATCCAAAGAAGACACACTTCTTTGCCTTGGGATCAAGCTTTGAGCGGTGAGGACCAAGGACGTGCAAAGCAGACACACCCAAACACCCTGAGAGGAATATGAAACATCTCCCCCTCAGGAAAAAGAAGACTGAATGGGGTGTTGAATCCAAGTATACGAGAGGGCACCCTGTTAATCAGATATACTGCTGTGAGAACTACATCACCTCAAAACTGAACTAGAACTGTAGATGTGCTCGTCATGCTTTTTGCAATCTCAACAATGTGTCTGTTCTTCCTTTCTACAACACCATTCTGCTGTGGACTGTAGGGACAACTGCTCTGATGGACAACACCATATTCTAACAGATATGAAGTAAGGTGTTTTTCAAAATATTCCCTAGCATTGTCTGATCTGAACACCTTTTTTCTTGTTCCAAACTGTGTTAGCACCATCTGATGAAATTGCCTCACCAAGGATGGTACTTCATCGCGGGATCTCGTCAGGTAAATCCAAGAGTATCGTGAAAAATCATCCACAAATAAGAGAAAATATCGATAGCCTCCCATAGAAGGAACATGGTAAGGTCCCCACACATCCGAATGAATAACATCAAAAGAAGAAGAACACCTTTTATTACTAGGTTTAAATGAATGTCTACAATGCTTTCCAAGTTGACAACCTTCACACTCCAGACTTGACAAACTAATAGATTCAAAAAGTTTTGGAAACAAAAGACTCAAAGAAGAAAAAGGTAAATGACCCAAACGATTATGCCAAAGCATAATTTGACCCATAGACCCTGACTCACTATCCCTGCTGACATGATGACTCTAATGAGGAGGAAGAACATCCAGGAGGTAGATCCCATTCACTTCACGACCATCCTTGGTAGATCCCATTCACTTCAACTGATAAGCCCTAGCAACATTTTCCCTCTGTGAATAGGTTTCTGCAACCCCATCCCATATTTCCTTAGTTGTATTTGCCCATAAAAAATTTTTACCTATATGGGGCAACATGGAATTACACAACCAAGTCATCACCATATAATTCTCCTGTACCCACCGAGAGTTGCTAGTTTCGAGTTTCACTTCCTCACCAGTGATATACCCTAATTTCCCACGAGCACCAATGGCCATCTTTGCAGATTGTGACCATTCTAAGTAATTCGTACCATCCAACCTAACTGTAGTGATGGTCCCAGTCCCGAAAAGGTCTCCAGCACCTCCTCCCACTGGGCTTATTTTCAACTGCGTAACCCTCCATGCTTCTCAAAAAATGTAAAGAAAATAACTGAAATATGTAACAAGATCAAACGAAACACTTTTGGAACCAACAACACCTTTCTGGTGCCCTAGGCTATCTTTCCACAAAAGATTCCTTTTCTGTGGGACGAGAGAAGAGAGAGAAGAGGCAGCCGCTCTCTCTAGAAGCCTCCAAATCAGGCAGGACTTGAACCACCCCTTACAGAAAACTCCAAGGAACCCTAAAAAATTAAGGCGCCACTTCCTAGGTCAAAATTTAAGAGTCCAACAGAAACAAGACTCTTCCCCTTTCTCCAGTTTTTCCTGATTTTGATGAGAAACCCTAGACCAACTACATGGCACACAGATCCACTAAAAAATCCAAAAACTGGGCTTACTTGAGAACTTCAATCAGCCTCTTAAATCACCATGCAGTCGGCCGATCTAGGGCTGCATGAGGAAACAACTCAAGGAACCTTCAGCCTGCTCTGATACCAAGTAGAAATCACTGATTGTAGATTTAGTTGAATTTCTTGTGAAAGGAAAAAGGGAGAAGATAAAGATTTCAGTAGTAGAGAAGAAAAGAGAGGGAGAAAAGAGTAGGAAGTCAACCAGGATTCTTGAATTAACAACTTAAAAACATAAACTAATAGGCCTAAAGCCCAACAACTTTCCTAACTAAATAGCTTAAAATAAGAATAAAAAACTACTAGGCCCAACTCAACAATAATGTTAATTATAATCTCAAAAAAGAATAAATAAGATAGTATTTTATAGTAGGAAGTAGAAAAATGCTAGGTGATTAGGCGAGGCAAGCCTCAAAGGGCGCCTTGTCGCCTAGGCGTCGCCTTGACAACTACGTTCTACACTATCTTCTCTGCTATACCTTTATTTACATGGCAGCCATGGATGGACTAACACCTTTCCCTGTCAATAGCCAATACAGCACTACGAACCTCCATGGTTTTTTCGTAGAAGAACCCCCATGGTTGATGGATTCCATTTATCCTCCTAGAATCTCATATTGGCCATTCCTCCCTTTCAGAAAGTTCCGAGATTATTGAATTATTATCAAATCTTAACTATGCCCTTCCACACACTACTAGTAACATAATAGTTTTATCACCCCCCCTTAATATGCTCCTCTTTCCAAAGGATTCATTACCAATTTTCAAAAATTTCTTAAATGTGCCAGGGTAAATAGCTTAAATCCAAGGTAAGCTGCCATGGTTGTCAATATTTAACCTCAACACTCATGATACCTCAGTACATTTATGTGCTAAGAATATCCATATCTGACACGATAATACTAGATAAGTCGCTATATTGAGTGAACAGTTCTGGAGCAAGCCTTACGGTAGAATTACTTCTAGAAATATGTATTTTTTTTTGTTTTTTTCCTTTTTTTTATTTCTTTTGAAGGGCTACACAATGGGGGGTAGCCCACCCACCAACCCAGGTGCAGGCGGGATTAGATCCCAAGTCTCCGTCCGCTATGACTAGCAGACCTTACCAACCAGCTGGTTGGCACCTTGCAAAAAAATATGTAAATGTTATATTTAATAAATGTATAATGTGAAATCTTTTTAGACGTGAAGTTTTATTAAATCTAACAGGATATAAGTATTGACAAATGATAATTATCTTAAAAACAAAACATAAGAACATGATATCACCATATTAAATGGGATGCCCATACCCATATATGCTCTGGGTCCTAAGAAACAGTATTGCACTACTGTTTCCATCCACATATTGTGTCCATAACTTTATCTAGGCATCTAAGCTCAAAGTTCCTGCCCACATGATTCCAACCTCACAAATACCAAAAACTTCATTCCTTGTCAAATTTACTCTGAACATACACTTCCAGTTTCATGAGCATGATAACAACAACAAATGATGGAAATGTTAGTAATACGCTCAATCAGTCCTCCAAATGGAAATGGTGAATCGCTTTGTCGAATTCCTCTTAAACCCTAAAAAGAAATTGTTCAGGTTTCCACTAAATAGAACAAAGAGTTAAGATGATAACAACAAAATATGTCATTGCAGTCATGGCCCATGGACATGAGTTAATCTCAATAAAAGAATTGAAGAGGCTTCTTTGGAATGCTGGGCCCTAAAAGGGAGATTGTCTCAGGTGTTCATGGTAATGAACACAGTAATGAAGTACCACAGGCACTCACTTAGATAAAGGGGCATAGATTTCAAGGCTTAACGACAGTCTACCTGGGCAGTTCAAGGCTGCACACTCAGCTAGCCTCATAAGAGCACCCACCAGTACCAAGTAGATATTAGCCTATGCTATCGAGATCAGCTTTGGTCAGGGCAAGTCTCTGCTCACACCATCCCAACAGCCTCTTGCAACCTTGCATCGGGAATATCTCCCCATGAAATAAAGCACATGAGTAGGGAGATATTCCCAATGCAATGCTGTAAAGGCTGCTCGAACGGGCGTTGCCCTGACAGAAGCCCTATGCTATCAGGTATAGGGTAATTACTGACAAGAAAATAGTTTCTAATTCTGTCTTCTTGCCTTGATCCATTAATCCTCTAGTTCTAAACAATGATATGGCACCACAGAAGCAACTCGAGAGAGAAATAGAACTAATAAAGGGCAAATTCGACTAACATAAATATCTGGTTACTTGCAAGCTATGATGGAAACTTAAATATGAAAGGATATTAATGAAAGAGATATGTTACAGAAACAAAAAATGTGGAAATATTTAGTAACCATACCAATTCTTGATGGAGTTTCTGATTTTGTTGAAGAGCATATGATTTCTCTACATTTAACTTGGAAATGATAGACAATGCCTGAGTGATAAAAACTTGTCAGGAGGCTGATATCTATAAATATAACAAACTGCATGATCAAAAGCAAACGATGACACTAAAGAAATTCATCAAGCTCAACAGTTAATTCTATTATCTTCAATATCAATAAATAGGGCACTGTGTTTTTGGGCTCAGTTTTAAGACTGAATATTAAATTGTTTTCGTATTTTCTTGGAGGTAGCCGAGGCTGCCTTTGTACATTCCTCTTTCTCCCAGTAATAAAATTTGATATTGATGCTGATCAAAAAAACTATCAAGTGGTGAATGGTCCACTAGCTCATTTACATCATTTCTCAATGATCATCAATTTTAAACTATATGATGCTTTCCTTTTATCAGCACAAATTTATGCATTTTCTTACAAGAACAGCATGTCATAATCCAAAATGCCTAATAACCTTGACCATTCTAAGGGTGTATGTAGATTGTTGTTGGGGAGCGCGTGCGCAGGGGGGGCACAGTAGAGCAGGAGACGATCCAAGGTAGATTCTAGAATAAATAACCCCTACCCAATTCATTGAAAACAAAAGGAAAAGGCAGCAAAAGAATCAATTGCTTTCCATATTGTTTGCAGCCCCACTTTTGAGCCAAACTGTATAGCACGGAAAGCAGCAGATTGACAGTTTCCATCACACTTTTCCATTCCCATTTCAATTCAAATACAGAATAATAAATTCTAACTTCCAAATCTAACATAAATAGAAAGCTCTTGCATCATGAACAAATTGCTGTTACGAGTTACGAGCTTCAAAGTAACCAAAAAAATCATTAAAATGAAACAACCGGTCACTCCAATCATTTAACAATAATATAGAAAAGGAGTACTGTCAAAAACAATCTAGAAATGGATGGTTTTTATAAATCATAATATAAGTTTAGTACTTGTCATTATTTAAGATGGAAAAATCTATCTAGTTGAATCATCCATTAAAAGTAATCTAGAGAGAGAGAGAGAGAACTGTAAACCTTCTGTTGAAGGGGACCAGATCTAGTAGGCACAATATAGTAAGCACATTCAATGAGCCCTTGATAAATATTCTAACAACTGTCAAAAGTGGTTTTTAATCTTTTTCAAGGGTAGGCTGGGGGTATTTTAAGGGCAGGTGTCAAAAAATTTTTAAGTGCTCATTGAACGTGCTTACAATGTTCCTATCTGATCCAGACTGCTGTTGATGCAAGGAGTAAAAGAAGCAAGTTCAGAAATAACAATTAACAAGTAATGGAGAGGCCCATACCATGGTTTGTATCATTTAAAAAAAAAACAAATAAACAGCTAGATAAAACCCAAATTCAATTTCACAAAGTAGGTCAATGTAGACATCAAACTTATTCAAAATAAATCAAAAGAAACAATCGCAGATTGAGGTTTGTGTCTTTCCTCAAACAAGGTTTAAATTATAATGTATATTACAAAACAAAACATGAGAGAAAGAGAGAGATGAACATAAATATAAAAATTATGAGAATTGGAGGGAAAAAATCCATTGCAAACATCACATAAAAAAATATTGATAGAAGGAGAAAAAGCAGGCAGGCAACATGAAGCAAAGCAGAGTGAAAGAGCAAAACAGGCTGGGGGATAAGAAGCTAAAAACTACTGACATTCCATCAAAACTTTCTAGATATTTTGAATTGTGATATGGTATCCCTACCAACTAGAGAGATATACCCTACCTAACAAGCACTCTTAGAAGGGGCTAGTAGGGCAAGGGGCAAGACCAAAAAAGACATGGGTCAAAGTAGTAAGAAATGATTTAAGTGACCACCATTTAACAATGGATATAGCATTAAACAGAACTACGCCAATGTGAGCTTGTCTTACACTACCGGTCCCAAACCCCAATAAAGAAGGGTGTGTCAGGTAGGCAGCCGACACTAAAACTTTTGCCAAACTCAAACTCTCATGATATGGATCCCAATTTGTCTTTCCATGCTCATACTAGGGTGTTCTCCAGAAACAACATGCTGCATCCTAACTGGAGTGTAGTATTAAGTGGCAAGGGTTTGCTAGGATGGTCCCGTAAGTGACTCACCACAACAACACCCGATTGTGGTGCCAAAGTGGAGAGAAGAGAGGAGAACGATTGGAAGGCTTCAAAAACTTAGGAGGGCAGCACCCCTCTAATTATTTATAGGTATGGACAGCATTACAATGAAAGAAGGAAATTAAAAAATACCCCCCACGTAGACTAAAAATAAATGCAAACAGAAAAGAGAATTAATAGCTCTAACAACACTCCCCCTCAAGTTGGGTTGTATATATCAATTATGCCCAACTTGTCACGTAGGGAATGCGCACCTCACCCTTCTCAAGCTTTTCCCTTATAAAGTGTTTATCCACTTCAATATGTTTTGTCCTATCATGGAGTACAAGACTAGAAGCAATGTTTGTAGCCACTTTATTGTCATAGTAGAGAGACATTGGTCTATCAACATCAAACCCCAACTATCCCAACAAGCTCTTGATCCAAGCACCTCTGCAACTCTATGTGTCATAGCTCTATATTCTGCTTCAGCACTAGACCTTGCCACTACCCTTTGCTTCTTGCTCCTCCAAGTCTTCCACCTACAAATGTGCAATACCCACTGGTTGATTTTCTGTCATCCACAACACCTACCTTAGTCTGCATCTATGTAAACTTCTACTTCTACTTTCAGATGACTGTTTCCTAAACAACCACCCTATTCCTAGGAACTTTTTCAAATACCTGAGGAGTGAGGACCATCTAAGCAGCTTCCGAGTGGGATGCTTTGGGGAATGCATAAACTAGCTCAAGGCCCCCACAACATAGGCAATGTCAAGACATTTTATTGATAGGTACAATAGTCTTCCCACCAACCTCTGAAACTGTTTTACATCATTCAAAGGTTCATCATTGCAATCACCCAATTTGCGATTCACATCAATAGGGATATCAATAGGTTTTGCACCTAGCTTGCCTATGTTCTACAAGAGACCTAGGATGTACCTCTTTTTTGGAACAAAGATGCCCTTTTGAGAACGAGCAACCTCGATTCCAAGGAAATACCATAGGGGCCCTAAATCCTTCACTTCAAATTGGGTAGACAAAAAAACTTTCAAATTCTGTAGCCCCCACAACATAGGGAATGTCAAGACATTTTATTGATAGGTACAATAGTCTTCCCACCAACCTCTGAAACTGTTTTACATCATTCAAAGGTTCATCATTGCAATCACCCAATTTGYGATTCACATCAATAGGGATATCAATAGGTTTTGCACCTAGCTTGCCTATGTTCTRCAAGAGACCTAGGATGTACCTCTTTTTTGGAACAAAGATGCCCTTTTGAGAACGAGCAACCTCAATTCCAAGGAAATACCATAGGGGCCCTAAATCCTTCACTTCAAATTGGGTAGCCAAAAAAACTTTCAAATTCTGTATCTCAAAACTCTAGTCACCTATGATAATGATGTCATCCACATAAACTATCAACACTGCAACCTTCCCTTGACCCCCCCCCTCTTAACAAAGAGGATATGATCAAACTAACATTGCTTAAGACCGAGCTGTTGAACCGGTGAGCATTCGGTTTATTCGGTTAAAAACCGAACTGAATAAACTGAAATTTTAAAAACCGGAATAGAAAAAAAAAAATGAAAACCAAACTGAAACCGAATTAAAAAGAAACTGAAATAATTAAAACCAAAATTTTCGATTATTTCTATTAAAAGCGAATTTCATTAACAATTTAACATACATATAATATTATATATTATAACATATAATTATTATATTATATATATAATATATAATGAAACTGAATTTCATTATAATATATTATATATTACATGCTATATAATGAAATTTGGTTTTTTTACTTAACCAAACTTCTAATTCTGAAAACCAAAACCAAAATTTTCAAAAATTGAATTAACCAAAAACCAAAAAACTGAACGAAAAAACTAAAACCAAAATATTTGGTTCGGTTTTTACCGAATAATGCTCACCCTTACCATATGGAACTTGCTAAACTAGGCTCTCAAGGATTGTTTCAACCCATACAAGGCTTCGAAAACTTAGGAGGGCGATACCCCTCTAATTATTTATAGGTATGGACAACATTACAATAAAATAAAGGAGAAATTACATAAATACCCCTGCAACATAGACTAAAAATAAAAGGAAATAGAAAAGAATAACACATAGCTCTAACAACACTATAGAATGGGGGCGAGTAAAAAAGCTAGTCCAAGAAACACGACTTCGTTTAGCCTCTTGAAATGTAGAACCATTAACAAGAAAAACTATGAAATAAGTAACACTATGAAGAGAATGGTTAATATTGCATGCCTACAAGAAATTAAATGGAAGGGTAAAAAAAAGCTAAAGAAATTGATGGCTACAAATTATGGTATATATAGGAGAGGTAAATAATAGAAATGGTGTGGTGATAATAGTAGATAATGATTTAAAAAATGAAATTGCAAATGTTAAATGACTTAGGGATAGAATAATTTTAATTAGACTTGTTTTAGGTGAGGAAATCATTAACATAATTAGTTTTTATGCACCTCAAGTGGGTCTAGAAGAAAACATTCAAAGACAATTTTCAGAAAACTTAGAAGGATAAATCCAAAAAATCCCAAATGATAAGAAGATTTTTATATGAGGAGACTTAAATGGGCATGTAGGGAAAAAAGTGTAGGATGTGATATTATGATATGGTGCATGAAAGATTTGGATTTGGGTTGACGAATGAATCAAGAGGTACAATATTAGATTTTACAATAGCTTATGATATGGCAATTTTAAACACCTTTTTTCCAAGAATGATGAACACTTAATTACATTTAAAAGTGGGTCAAACATAAGTCAAATAGATTTTTTTCCTTACAAGAACAAAACGAATGATGTGTAAAGATTGCAAAAGTTATTCCAGGAGAAAGCTTAATAACACAACATAGACTACTGGTGGTAGATGTGCATACTAGAAAATGGATGAGAAATAGAGAAGAA